GAGCTTCTTCAATCCCGGAGTACATTTGAGGAGGAGCTGGTGAAAGCTCGGGTAGAGGCTAGAACTCAGGCCATCGAGGAGTTCAAACAGTCTGATGAGTTCAAGACTCTTCTGGGCCAGTATGGGTCTGGCTCGTATTACTACGGGCTTCGACTAGCTCGTTCATTCCTCTGGACCAAGCTCCCTGAGGACTTGAAGCCCATGGTTGAGGAGCTAAAGACTGTGAACGAGCTCGCCAAGGAACTCGAGCTTTCTTCCTTAGAGGCCGATGTTGATGATGATGACGATGATACTGGAAACCCTGACCAAGGAGGTAGGAGTGACCCCATCGATCTAGATTAAGCCCTTCCCCGGCCCCGAGACACACATTTTTGTAACTTTTCTTTTTGCTGATGTACTTTACCCGACCTTGGCTTATGAATTTATTTTTTGCTAATGTATATTGCCCGAACTGGTCTTCAATCTGTTTTTTTATCAGTTCATGCAACTTGCTTTTGTCTTGAGATCGTGCACATTTTCTATGTTCGTGTGTGGATGTTGTATTTTTGAACTCGAGATGTTATAATTGTTAAGAGTTCGATCGCATGTCATAACCAATTTGCTCGAATGTTGACGTCCATAGCCCGATTGTGTGTGAAGAGTTCGAGGGTATGTCTAGACAATACTAATTGTTGAAGCTATGGACAGATCGATCCTTTTAAAAATTGGGCTTCAATTTCAAAGTTCTGAGATGTATAGTTATGTTAGGGGTTAAGGAGTTCAAGTACTAGTGTTGGGTATTGATTTTTCAATTTGCTATATCGAGGGGGGACCAATGGGTCGCTGCTGATTTAAAAGATAAGGTCAGGCTTGTCCCTTGTAATTTAAATTTTCATTCCTTTGTGGATAAGGTCGGGTATGGTTACATGAGGTACAGTTATTTTCATGCCCCGATCTCGATCTTAAAATTCTTTGGTGGGAGAACATTTTGGGATCTATGAGGTTGGGGCCTATAATGCTCAACCTGTTGCCATTTGAGGTCATGTGTTTGGTACAGTTATTTCATGACCCGATCTCGATCTCAAAGTTCTTTGTTGGGGGGACATTTTGGGATCAAAGAGGTTGGGGCATTTTATGCTTGACATGTTGCCATTTGAGGTCATGTGTTTGGTTCTATTGGTCGAGTGTTAGCTGCATGCGTGGAGCACGGCCTTATGCTAAGTTTGTTAAGTTATTAGTTGTATGCGCGGAGCACGACCTTACTCTAATTTGATAAAGGTATTAGCTGCATGCGCGAAGCATGACCTTACACTAATTTGGTTAAGTTATTAGCTGCATGCGCGGAGCACGACCTTACGCTAATTTGGTAAAGGCTGCATGTGCGGAGCACGGCTTTGCGTTAATTTTGTAAAGGTATAAGATGCATGCGTGGAGCACGGCCTTACGCTAATTTTGTAAAGGTATTAGCTGCATGCGCGGAGTACGGCCTTATGCTAATTTGGTTAATAGGGAAGCAACATCGTAAAAAAAATTTTGTATATCATTAAAAGGGCCCAAGGGCGTTGATACCCGAACTTATTCGAGCATGAGCTGTCTGGGTATTAGAGCCCGTAAAGTAAAAATGAAATTAAACAAACATAAAGTGGGCATGCAAGCCTTAAAAGGGAAAAATTATAGTTATAGCCAGTTACTTGTAATAAATTTTCAAATTATCGGCGTTCCATGGCCTCGGGAATGGCTTCCCCGATGTGTCTCTAAGGCTATAGGCTCCTACAACTTTTAGTTTTCTTGTGACCTCGAATGGTCCTTCCCATGTTAGTCCGAGCTTTCCTGGTTGGTGTCCGGCAGCTTCTGCTTTTCTAAGAACAATATCACCAGCTCTGAACCTTCTCGTCTGGACCTTATTGTTAAAGTGTTTCGCCATTCTGTACTGATAACTTGCAGCTCTAAGTGAGGCTTGCTCTCTTACCTCTTCAAGCAAGTCAAGGTGCTCAATAGTTTGTCTCTCCCTATTTATCTCGAGCTTCCTCATTGTGGGGAGGCTGACCTCGATTGGGATGTTAGCCTTAAGTCTGAAGGCGAGCATGAAGGGCGTCTCACTAGTTGCTGTCTTGTGTGAAGTTCTATATGCCCACAGTATAGAAGGTAGTTCATCTGGCCAGTCACCTTTGGCATCCCCTATTCTTGTTCGAAGGTCTTGTAGTATGATCCGATTGGTTACTTCGACAAGCCCACTATTTTATGCGTGTGATACCAAGGTCAAGCAATGATCAATCCCATTGTTAGCACAGAAGCTCCTGAACTGCGGATTGTCGTATTGCCTTCCGTTGTCTGTGATGAGGACTTTCGGTATCCCAAACCTGTATATGACGGACTTCTATGTGAATGACCTGAGCTTCGACTCCGAAATTATCGCTAGTGGTTTGGCCTCTACCCACTTTGTGAAATACTCCACTGCCACAGCTACAAATTTTAATTGTCCTCGGGCCAAGGGGAATGGCCCAAGAATATCAATTCCCCACTGTTCGAAATGAGCTGAGTAATGAATGGATGTTAGTTCCTCAATAGAAGCATGTAAGATGTTGCCAAACTTTTGTCACTTGTCGCACTTTCGGACGTAATCCTGAGCATCTTTCTTTAAACTTGGCCAGTAGTACCCATACCTTATCAACTTATATGTAAGAGCTCGGCCTCCTTGGTGATTTCTACAAATGCCTTCATGAACTTCAGTCAAGGCTTGCAGAGACTCAAACGGTTTGAGACATCTTAGATAAGAGAGTGTAAAGCTTCTGCGGAACAGGACTCCTTCGATTAGACAATAGCTAGCAGCTCTATACCGAATGCTTCTAGCAAGCCGAGGGTCTGCAGGTAGGCTACCATTACTTATGTAATCAACTATTGGGTCCGTCCAGGATGGCTCATGGTCGATGTCCATGACACTTGGCTTTTGAGCTATGCTGGGTTCTGCAATTCTCTTGATGTATACGCTTTTATCGAGCCCATCCACACCCTTAAAGGCGAGTCTAGATAATGCATCAGCTTTGACGTTATCAGCCCTGGCCACCTTCAGGATTTCACAACCTACAAACTGCCTTTGAAGGTCATGGACTTTTAGACACTATAAGCTCACCTTCTCGTCTTTTCTTTCGAAAGACCCCTCGATTTGCCTGACCACTAGCCGTGAGACACTAAAAACTTTGACATGCTCCAACTCGAGGCTTTTTGCAAGTTCCGAGGTTATGATAACGGCTTCATACTCTACTTCATTGTTGGTGGCCTCAAATTCAAATCTGAGCGCACATTGTATTTCTGTAGCCTTGTCTGGGCTAGTGATGATGACGCCGACCCCCGAGCCTCTCCCATATTTTCAAGGTCGTGCTCGGGTTGTTATCCTGTGTTGCCGAGTTCTTCGGAGAGAGTTCTGCTATGAAGTCAACCAAAGCTTGAGCTTTGATTGCAGGTCGTGGCTTGAACTCTATGTCAAATTTGCCAAGTTCAATTACCCATTTCAATAGTCTTCCTAAGACGTCCGGCTTCTGGAGTATGTGTCTAAGAGGTTGGTTAGTGAGCACAACAATTGGCTGTGACTGAAAGTACGATCGTAATTTTCTGGCAGCTATTACCAAAGCGAGGGCGATTGTGTATCGTGTCTCTGCATTAAGGAATACTTTACTTATATAATAGACAGGCTGCTGAACTCTTCTTTTCTCCTTCACCATGACCCCGCTTACTGCATTCTGAGAAACGACCAAGTATAATAGCAACGTTTCACCGGGTTCGGGTTTGGTAAGGACTGGAGGTGTTGATAACGTTTGCTTGAGCTCCTGGAAAGCTAAGTTGCATTCTTTGTTCCAGTTAAAGCTTTGATTTTCCCTAAGTAGTTTGAAAAAGGGAAAACACCTGCCAGCTGCCCGGGAAACAAACATGTTCAGTGTTACTATGCGACTAGTCAACTTCTAAATGTCCCTTTTCTATCTAGAGGCCTCCATCCTTATCAGGGCTTGGATCTTATCGAGATTTGCCTCTATTCCTCTGTGTGTGATCATAAAACCTAAGAACTTTCCAGATGCCACCCCAAATGCACACTTTGTAGGGTTGAGCTTCATGTTATACCTCTGTAACTTGGCAAACACTTCCTTAAGATTAGAGACATGGTCATTTACTTGTTTCCTCTTAACCACCATATCATCCACATATGCTTCGACCATTTTCCCGATTAACTCAATGAAGATCTTGTTTACCAACCTTTGATATGTTGCTCCAGCATTTTTCAATTCAAAGGGCATGACCCTATAACAATAGATGGCCGAGTCTGTCATGAATGAGGTCTTCTCTTGATCTTCTTCCGCCATGAGTAATTGGTGAACCCTAAAAAAAATCCAAGAAGCTGTACAGCATATGACCTAACGTGTTGTCCATAAGATTGTCAATTCAAGGAAGAGGATAACTGTCTTTGGGACATGCTTTATTCAAATCTGTGAAGTCAATGCAGACTCGCCACTTCCCATTAGCTTTCTTGACAAGAACAACATTAGCAAGCCAATCAGGATATTGTACTTCCCGAATGAACTGTGTGTTAACAAGTTTGGCAATCTCCTCCTTTATGACTTCTCGTCTTTCTGGTGCAAATTCTCTTTTCCTTTGCTTTACAGGTCTTGCCCCCGGATTTACATTAAGTCTATGCACCGCAACCTCTGGGTCGATTCCAAGCATGTCCTCAACATTCCAAGCGAATATATTGATGTTACAGGTGAGAGAACTCAGTAGTTCAGTCATGACTATTGTATCTAACTCTCGTTCGATTATCATAAGCTCGAGCTCGACCTCTTCCAATACCTCCACTGGAGCAAGTCTCTCATGGATCTCGTGCTCGAGCTCGAGCTCTATAACTTGCATAACATCGTCCTTGATTCTCCAGACACTAGTCACATAACACTGTCGTGCCACTGTTTGGCTGCCTCTAACTACCCCGATTCCATTACTTGTAGGAATTTCATTGCCAAGTGAAAAGTTGAGACAATAGCTCGAATTCTATTGAGCAATGGTCTTCCCAATATGGCGTTGTAGGCCATTGGAGTATGGAAAACTTCAAAGGTGGTGATCTGCTTCACTTGTTTGCCTTCTGCCCCCAATGTTAAAGGCAGCCCAACAATACCTTCTGGGGTGATGACCCCACCTCCAAATCCTTGGAGGGGTGTTTTGACTGGCTTGAGTTGCTCCGATGAGATCACTATTTGAACAAAGGCTTCATGAGACGGTACGTTAGCTGTACTTTTGTTGTCTATAAGAATTTTCCTGACTTCAAAGTTAGCGAGGATGGCCGATATGACCAGAGCATCATCATAAGGGAATGTTATACCTTCTAAGTCCTCCATTCCAAAAGTGATGTCCTCTGTACATGCAAGATCTAATCTTGAGATGATTGGAGGTTGCCTGGCATATTGTTTACGTCCGCTACTAGAATCTTCCCCCGAGGTTGTTCCTCCGATAATGATATTGATAGTACCTGCAGTTGGTTGCTTATTTCTCCAACCCTCTGGGCCCTTGTCTCTGTTTTGATTATTCCTTGGGCACTTGTCATCGTTAACGTAAGAGCCCAAAAATCCCCTTTTTATAAGAACTTCAATCTCCCGTTTCAAGGCCAAACAGTCTTCCGTTGTATATCCATGATCTCGATGGAAATCACAGTACATACTCCTGTCACGAGTATCGGGGGGAGACTGCAATCTCGAAGGCCACTTCAGTTTCCTCGAATCCTTGATCTTCATCATAATGTTGGATCTCAAGGTGTTCAAACCGGTAAAAGATGTTGAGGAGGGGTCTTGCCTTTGCTTGACCTAAGGTGTGTCTTGTCTCAAACTGGACTCATGTGGCCTTTTATGATCCAACCTTCCTGATGAGGAAACTTCTCTTTTTTGGGGCCATGGCTTCTTTCATATTGATGTACTTCTCAACTCGTGTGAGTAGCTCGGTGACTGACTTTGGAGGGGTGTTGGACAAGGACATCTTGAACGCTTTACACTTAATGGCGTATGTTAGAGCTGAGACTGCAACGGTGATATGTAAATCGGGGATCTGAAGCCTTTCTTTATTGAACCTGGTCATGAAACTATGTAGTGTTTCATTGGGTCCTTAGCGCATTTGCATGAGTCATGCGGCTGTCTTTCTGGTTCGCTTGTTGCTCACAAAGAAAGCGGAGAACTTATCTGCTAAATCTGAGAAGGAGGCGATAGAGTTCAATTCCAATGTGGAAAACCAATCTCTAGCTGTGTTTGTGAGGGTCCGAGGGAATGCCTTGCACATTACTGCATCAGGTATGACCTGTAAGTTCATGATATTCATATACACATTGAGATGATTGATGCGGTCGGTTGTCCCATTGTACTCCTTTATCCGAGGATACTTGAACCTATCGGGGAGGGGATGCGAGAGCACTTTTGGAGTGAATGGCGTATTGGGAGTGAACCCTGTTGCTGCCTGAGTGTTTTGTTGAATATCAGCCGCTATACCTTCTTGAATAATTCTAGCAAGTTCAGCGGAGTCCATTGTAACGGACCTTAAACCTGAAGCCACTTGCGGTGCACCTAAAGTTCTAACCCCACCATCATCATGAGTTGTACAACGGTCTGGAGCCCGGGCATCTGCCATAAAACCACCTTCGGGGGTTGGGGTATGAGACGGGTGTGAATTTCTCTGGCTTAATAATTGGGTTATTGCGGCAACCTGCTGATGAAGTTCCTCAAAAGCTCTGGCAATAACCACAGCTTGAGAAGGTGTTGGCATCTCCGACGACTCTTCTTGAGGGACATGGCGTTCCTCAAGAGGAGGAGGGTTGTCCGAGACAGACGATCTTGCAAGAGGAAGACCTGGATGTGTATTAACCATGGCATTTGGTAGCGATTCCCACAGACAGTGCCAATGATGCTACCAAAAAATAGTACCTGAAAGATCTCTAACTTGATGATTGAACTCCGAACTTTCATGAACATGAACGGCCTTCGAATACCTGCAACAAAGGCAACGATGTGTGTGCTCGTTGCCCCTTCGATGCTTAAGGCAAATAGGAAATTTAGTGAGTGAGGCTATAAACTAGAGATAATGAAAAATGTACCTCAAGAATGAGCCCAAGTTATTTATTTATAGGTGTTGATGATAGAGTCCTAGAAGGACTTACCCACGTGTGATCCTTATCCTCGTAGGATAAGGAGTTAGTGTTTCATTCCAAGTGTTCAACCTTTGTTTGAGTTGAAGAAGGAGTCAAATAGGGTAAGGATTGTGGTCTACGTAGAATTAGTGTTCTCATAGATCGTTAAGAAGTGCGTGGTGAGTTGACATACAAACCCCGACCTCAAAGGCCCAACAATGATTTGGTAGTTTTTTTGATTTGGTAGTTTTGGGTGATGAGAAGGTTGGGGTTAATGGGTCGAGTTCCGGATTACAAGATCTGGGGTCATCACCATGCAACGAACAAGAGCCCAGCTAACTCTACGGAAAATGGAGGCTGCTTCACTTCATTTGCTCCTTCTTGTGATCCTAGTCAGCTAGTCTATTTTTGGGATCTCTGTGCAACAGTAGATACATTTACTGCTTTGCTTGGAGACTAACCTACACCAGGAGAAAGTTCATGTTGGGAATCTACTTAATGTGCAGCAAAAAATAAAAACAGATTTCGATTCCCACCAAGAATCGTCTTTGTGTTTAAATAGAAATTGTGATAAAGATGTACCTTTTACAAAATCTGCAAACTCCTTTGTCATATCTTTGTTCCAGCAACTTGGATCTGTCTCCCACAGCTGTCCAATTGTCCAGCCTCCAACGACAATCTACACAGAGAACAAGATTGCAGATTCAGGTTTTTTTCTTGTGCTAGCAAGAATAATGAATTTTCTCCAAAATTATAAACCCTAATAAGTTATTCATATAAGCCCAAACGGGCTAGGCCTGACTCGGTCCAATATTTAATTAATCCATTTAATTATATTCGGACCGTGAATTAATTAATCCAATTAATTAATTTGGGCCTATAAATAATCAACCCAATTAATTAATTTATCCAACGATTGTTAAATTAATTAATTGACAAATTGTAATCTTCCAATTCACTTTTGTGTGCGACTCATCAGGTTCTCGATCACGATGCCTAACAACGTGAAATATTATTTTGATCTAATCAAAATTGATAAATTAAAACACCCTTTTAATTTATCACCAATTCACAATCGCCATTCCAGATTGACATCTAGCAATGTGTCAGAGCAATACATGTGACGGAAAATGTCACGTGGTATGACAAATTCAAACTCGTTCGTTTATCATGAAACTATAATCCCTTCATTAATATGATCCAATCAATTACGAGATATGGAAGTATGTTAATCTCGATTATCAATCATAGCTTTTACTCCACTATTAAGTCAATATAAGTCGAAGACTCCTTTTCGACTTATGAGTACGCATTGGTCAAGGATTTCGTTATCCACTTAATTGAATGAAACGCAGATCATAATCTCTTACTATCTAAAAGTGACGAATCCTCTATTGGTCATTCACAACCTTCATACAATTCTTGACATACCCGAACGATGCCGTATTAACGGCCCTTGGCAGAGCAGCATCCAACACCGCCAAAGTATGTGTGTCCTCAAATAAGGTACCATGACGACCTCAAGTCAATGGACCAATTCCACTACCAAACGTTAGAGATTAACCACTGACACTTAGATAGTTATCCATGTAGAATCTCTCGGTGGCTCTCCAATGTTTTGTTCTATAACAAAATATCCACGTGTTCATTTCAGTGTCACCACACTTTCGCTTGTAAGACCAGTTACTTACTTCACAAGTAAGTAATGTCACATTTGATGGTCTATCTGTAATAACGATATCTATATCTCATTATTACTTACGACCACGAACGATTTAAGATTCAATCATATGTAATTTGTATCTCACAATCACAACTCCTTGTGATTAAAATTACGAAGATTTGAATCTACGGACTCTATTATTTAATTTAATTGTCTACTAGTTAAATAATAGATCTGCTATTAAATTGCATTAGTTATATATTAAAAGTATTTATGTTCAAGGTTGATTGGACCTAGGGCATAACGCTTACAGTTCATTACGTTCTGTTTCATTTCAATCATTATAAGACTAGCCTTTAATTTTTTTCCAGTAGAACTAGAATTTTCAATGAGCATATGTTTTTCTCTATATTTATCGAATGTATAAATAAGAAAAAACAGCACCTCTTTACTTGCAGGAAACTTAAGATCCTTATGCAATACGTTTGCAAATGTCTTCTGCCTCTTCTTTCCCCCTGAATGGTGTGTCAAGATTATCATCTAAATCTCTGGACAAGTCAATTTTGAAAGGGGTTTACTATGGTTTTGTGAGAGACTTGTGTCCATTGTAGTGACTACCTCTGGGTCTTGTTTGGGAATGTGGTTTTGTGAGTTAATCACCTTGTACAAATGGGTACAATGGTTGATTTGAGCCCAATCAATGATTACTTGATGCCTTGGTTGTTGGTCTTGGTTCTGTAATTTTTTGGTGTCGATCTTTTGGGTCTTCTTTTGTAACAAAACGGCAGTTGATCAGTAACAAAGGAGAGTTTAGTTTTATGTGGATATCATCCAATTTGAACAAATTTAAGAAATACTAAAACAAAAAAGTATAATTTTGCTGATATTATATGATCTCAAAATTGTTTCATATCTGACTCAAAGCATAAAAATTACCAAGAGCCCACCAGTCAACTGCACTAGTATGGCCTGCTCCGGTAATGATTTCCCGTACAGACGAATAATCTCAAAGGTCAGCTGCTAACAAAATCTTCTTGTAGATATTTCTTGTGGAACAAAATTTTAATTTAGCAGAAAAATGACAGATAAGCCAATAAATATCGCTACACTCTTTAGATGTTAAATAAGTCAAATAATCACATCCAAGAGACAAAAAAAAGACTACCAACCGGAGCTACGTATTCTTCGATTCCAACAAAAGAATTTGATGCTCGCATTGGTCAGCCATAAAGATCGGGGCCTACTAACACTTTTGATGCCTTTTCTTTTCATTTATTTCCAGAATCAAAAGCTGCGCAAAGCACAGAAAAAAAAATACATATATTTTTGTGATCATTCGTCAATCTATGACGCCTTCAAAGAATGATGTTAGTAAAGGAGGAAAACAATAGAGATTGAACATACCTGTGGCTTGCAAGAAGTCAAGCAGGACAAATCGAAGTCTGTCAAAGACACGTGCTCGTTGCTTTGAAGCAAAACATTTTCAGGCTTTAAAAACCTGTAAATTATGCCTACACCAGAACAACAAGATATGCAGATAAATAAATAGAGCGATGCTATAAATACATATTCTTTCTACAAATTTGTACAGAAAGACAACTGTCTTATTGTAATTGGCTGTTGCTGACAACGATTTTTTGCAATAGCAAATCACAGGAAAATAACTTTTTTCTGTATCAATACTATTAAAAAAATCTGTACTTGCTTATTAATACAAATAAATAAAAAATAATAAAATCTCTCTCTCTCTCTCTCTGGTCTTCCATCTCTCTTGTTTTTCAACTTGAATACAGATTCACTCATTGTTACTTGGATACCCCATCAAGTATAATCAGTAAGAAATAAGTAGAAATTCGACACATGATAAAACTTTTGTGGTGATTTCTGGAATATTACTGCTAATGTATAAGGCACAAATAAGAAAAGCAATACAAGAAAGAATCCAAAATCAACTAGCATTT